CACAGGCATGAGGAACTAGGCTTAATTTTTTTTTTTTCCCCAAACTCACTTCATAAGCACGTTTCCCAGTGTAGGAAGGACAATCCAAAGCTGAAGACGCTCTGAACTATTTGGCATCCAGAAGAGACTTTGGAAGAATCCCTTCAAAGAGTAATTCATCGACTTCTGTTTTTGCCTAGGGATGCTGTAGAACATCCACAATTGGAGGTTTTTAAGTGCATGTTCACAAAAGCCATTCCTGACCAATGCACGTACTAGTGATACTGCTTTAGAAAGTATAAACACGATGTCTCAAAGGTTCTTCCAGCCTTACTTTCTAGGATTCATTTCTTATTCCCAGTCTTCGTCTCTTGAGTTTTCACAGACTTTCTCTTATTACCCTTTATCCCTTTTGCATCTATACCCTTTTCTTTTGAATTGATACCCTATCATTAAATATCTTTATGCCATCATCCCCAAGTTTTCTTAGCAGCTGTTATTCCCTCACCACCAAAGGCGGCTCAGAACAGCAGTTCTCCACTGCAGCTCAGAAGAGCCCAAGATGCAATTTCTCAATAGAGCAAAATCCCTCTGCTCCTTAGACAGAGGGACAGTCGACTAATTTTCTGTCAGTGTGCTGCTGAGCTCCTAACTTAAGACAAGAACTAAACTAGCTCCCAGGACATGAGCAACATCTGTTAGACCTCTAGGCAACCACCCTCCCTATATACAGTCCTGACTCACTTTCACTTAACTCCTTCTCCTCTTCAGCCTGCAGAAATAAAGCAGTATTTCACAGGTCACAGATGGAAGCCGCTTCTGCTGCAAAAAGCGCACCCCAACAGCACGGCTGGCCAACAGCCCTTTCAATCTCCACTAATTATTGAGGGGGGGGGAAGATGGAGAAAAGGCGGCAATGCCAAACCTTGTGGTGATGTAAACCTGCAGCTGAATACATTAGGAGCTGTGGACATCCCTGACGACAGCAGCATGTCGGTCCGCTACCACAGGACGCTGTTCAGCAAAGCGCAAGGTGTCAGGGGAGGCGAGCGCGCTGGCACAGGCCCCGAGGCAGAGCACCGCCTTATGGCGTTACCCATGCCCCTCCAGAGACACCAGCTTCCCCAGGCAA